CATCAACCTAGGGTGCATCTTCCCCACAGAGAATGAGTCTGGCCTGAATGTGAAGATCTCATCCCCATCAGCGCCACTGACAAATATCACCTGCTCTAGTGTGCAGTCCAGAACTACCCAGATCCTCTTGGGAACTGGAGACAAGGACAACGGGGTGCAAGGATCTGTGAGAGCCTCAAAATTTCCCCTCTGTTGCTTAACAGCCCAGATGCCTTCCTTAGGGGAGGGATAGGTCATTGCCTTCCTCTTCAAGGCCTCTTTGGCCACCCCAATGGCCCAGTACGTCTCATTGCCCACCTCTCCCTCCACCTCCCAGCAGTGTTTCCCGACAGAGAACCCCTCCCGGCCCAGCACACAGCACAAATGTTGGAATCTCTCATATCTGTATGGAAGCTTCTGCTGATTCTCTCCCCATCTCACACTTCTGCAGTCCTGGGATAGCACGAGCTGTGGATGAGCTGTGTTTGGATCCAGGAAAACCTCCTCTGCAGGCACAAGAACAAGCAGAGTGTTGGGACAGGCCTCTGGGATAGGAACAGTTTGGGTGAAGACCTCTTTGGCTTGAAGAACTCTTTGGTTCTCCACTTTCATTAAGGTGGGACACGACAGCTCCCTCCACCAAGGAGGAACAAGGCCTGGTGCTGTCAGGTTCATGCTCTAAGATACAAGTCATGGACTGTCTATTGAGGACAGGGACGGTCCAGAAATGTCCAGGCCCATCTACCCAATAGAAACACAGAAAAAAAATGAAGAGGACTTTCCATAGAAGGAAAGGACTGAGGAAGGATAAAAGGACAAACTGTCTTTACCTGTGTTTACAGGGAAAATGATTCTTCTCCACGCTGCAAGGAAAGATGAGAGCCGGTTATAACACCATGCTTGTCCCCACATGGGGCCACACTGAGGACATGGGCAGGGAAGAGAGTCCAGTCCTGTTCTCACCCCACACATCTCACTAGGGTGTCCCCAGACCAGTCACTGCTTTTTTGGAGAGGGACAAGGCAGAGCTTCCAGTGCTGGGCAAGGGCTTTCCAGACACCCCTGAGATCCTCCTCTCCCAGGACAGTGTTTGGGGGCTCTCTGGAGATCTGAGACCTCGCTTTGAAAGGCCTCAACCTGGGACCGCAGTCAGGAAAAGCCACCTTGGGGCTGAAGAGATCAGCTTTTTGCAGAGGGTTTATAAGTGAAATCAGGAAATAGAGACTCACCCAGCTCTGAAGCCTTTGCCTCTGAAAAGTGAAAGAAAAAGAAGTCATGAGCAGAGGAGCCTCCCATCGCCAAGATGCAACCGCAGGAGAAGGCATCACTGGGGATGACTCTACGCCCGGAGTTGGTTTCTCTTCCTCATTCCCAGGGAAGGGGCAATGCCCAGATACTGCTGGCACTTCCAGAGAGTGCCAGTCTGCTGTATCCCCATCCTGGGCACGTGGACAACACACCGGCTCAGCATGAGCTGGATTTAACCACGTCCTTTTCCCAGACAAGAACAAAAGTCAAGAAGCTGGTGTCCATCCCAAGGACACTCCTTTGACCACAACTTCAAAAGGGAAAAGGAGAAGACAGACTCACCCAGTTCCTTTGTTTTTTCCTCTGAAAGGCAAAAAAAAAGCAGGTGATGATCAGAATGACACATTCATTTCCTGCTTCCCAACCCCAGAAGGAGCAAGTCCTGCTCTTTGGCTTCTGCACCCCATCCTGGGCACATGGAGACGACCCTGGCTCAGTCTGAGCTTCCTTTAACCCAAACCCTCTCCCACACAACAACCAAACCACCATGCTTGTATCCACCCAGGGCACAGCCTTAGACAGGAACAGCACTCACCCATCTCTCTGGACAAGTTCTCTGAAAAGCAAAGGAAAAGGAAGAGGACATCAGCAGAGGAGCTTCCCATCCCCAAGATACAACCGCAGAAGAAGGCATCGCTGGGGATGTCTCTGATCCCCAGAGGAGTTGGCTCCGCTCCCCCATTCCCAGGGAAGTGAAAATGCCCAAACACTGCCAGCCCACAGCATCCCCATGCTGGGGACATGGACTATGCACTGGCTCAACCTGAGCTTCATTAGACCCAGTCCTTTTCCCACGCAAGAGCCAAACCGAAGAGTCTGGTTTCCATCCCAAGGACATTCCTTTGACCACAACTTCAAAAGGGGAAAGGAGAAGACAGACTCACCCTGTTCCTTTCTGTTTTCATCTGAAGGGCAAAAGAAAAGCAGAAGATGATCAGAAAGAGACATTCGTTTCCTGCTTCCCAACCCCAGAAGGAGCAAGTCCTGCCCTGCATCCTGGGCACATGGACAAGACCCTGGCTCAGCTTGAGCTTAGTTTAACCCAAACCTTCTCCCACACAACATCCAAACCACCATGGGGCAGCCTTAGACAGGAACAGCACTCACCCATCTTTCTGGACAAGTTCTCTGAAAAGCAAAGGAAAAGGAAGAGGACATCAGCAGAGGAGCTTCCCATCCCCAAGCTACAATCGCAGAAGAAGGCATCGCTGGGGATGGCTCTGATCCCCAGAGGAGTTGGCTCCTCTCCCCCATTCCGAGGGAAGTGACAACGCCCAGACACTGCCCGTGGTCCCTATGGGTGCCAACCTGCAGCATCCCCATGCTGGGGACATGGACCATGCACTGGCTCAACCTGAGCTTGATTAGACCCAGGCCTTTTCCCACGCAAGAGCCAAACCCAAGAGTCTGGTGTCCATCCCAAGGACATCCTTTTGTACACAACTTCAAGAGGTGAAACGAAAAAAAGACTCACCCAACTCCTTTTTATTTTCCTCTGAAAGGCAAAAGAAAAGCAGAAGATCATCAGAATGAGACACTCGTTTCCCATATCCCAACCCCAGAAAGAGCAAGCCCTG